GTCAATCTCATTCTGATACACAATGATATACATGGTGGCATTTTAATGAATACGTATAATTTAGGTCCTAAGAAGGCTCAATCCAAAAGACAATCACCAATAAAAAATATATGCATCAAAAAAATTAGGGACAAAACCAATTGACTGGAAGTACTTCTTGTTCGATTTTCAATATAAAATTCCACCTTGATTAAAATATAAAGGCAATATAATAATGTTCAATATATGTACGGTTTTTTTAATTTAACCTGTACTAAAATGTTCTGCCCTGCAACAGGCATGTTTACCCTAGTTCCCAGCAACCAACGTGTACATTTTGAAAATGAGACGGCCACTTCCACATTCAACAGGAATAATACACACCATACATCTAACCACCTTTGCAACTACCTGAATTCTGCCTCTTGAAAAATATTTTTTTTTATTCACAGCCATATTAATAATTTCGAGAGTCAGTAAAACACAATATTATTCATTTGAAAGTATTAGATTACTTGTATGTGAAATTACGATTATTTAGCTTATATTCTGAAGTCAACGATCTATGATACCATTTTTCTTGAATGTACCAACATAGAGTTTCTTGTTTCTAAACATTCACTGAGAGATAAAACACCCTGTAAGTATCAACTTGGGAAATATTAGCTCAAGACAAATTTAATGCAATAAAGTATCCCCAAAAATTGTGTGTATAGACAATCTATACAGAATGTTTCATTAACAATAGGTATATCATTTAGTACCTACTTCTCAGAATTGCATCAAATATTTTCATTAAATCCATTTTTTTTTTCAATCATGCTCAGATACAACAACATATGAGCGCCAACAAAAGGATATTCAATTTCTTTCTTCAAATTCATTGAAATATCAACACTAAAAAATCTTCAAACTTTTTTGTATCATTTCATTATTTTCATCTTTAGCTATAAATTTCCAAGTTTATGCGTATAGGTTGAAATGCTTGCTCTCAATAATATCTGAACTTCTGTCAGAAATCTTTAGTTGATCGGATTGCTTTGAGGTAACACAACTTGTCCTACGGGGTCGTAAGTTTCAACTAGTCCATTTCTGACAGAATTACTATCACAGCATTAAGAAACTGCGGTGAATAATTGTTGTGGAATGTGATATTTTCCGTGCTTGCATCATAGAACGCTGTTTTCTTGGTCTACACCTTTTCCAATAGTAATTCAGAATGTATCATTTGTAATTAAGAATGGGTCAATTGTAAATCAGACTATGTCATTTGTAATTCAGAATAGTTAATTGAAATTGAGAAAACGTCATTTGTGATTCAGATTAGTCAATTGAATTTCAGAAAATATCAATTGTGATTGAGATTAGTCAATTGAATTTCAGAAAATATCAATTGTAATTCAGAAAACTTCATTTGTAATTCAGAAATATGGAACAGTGTCACCTCTGCATGAATACCTACCTACAATCCATCATCATCAAAAGTACCTACTGTGTATACCATATTATCCTGGAACCGTATATTTTAACTTCAAATAATTATACATAATTCCGAGAATGAACTTCAAAGACAACTGTATGATTTGTCGTATTCCAATGACTCGAAGTGCAGTTACCAGATTGCAGCCATGTAATCATTTTGTGCATACGAGGTGTGCTTCACCACTACAGAATGTGCCAGATGTCACTTGCCCAGTATGCAGAGCAATTTTGACTGAAAGTTTGGACGTTGAAAGAAATAGGTATTGATTCATATATTTCATTGAAACGAATGATTCAGTCTTGTTCATCAGGTATAAAAAACATAATCATCAAGATCGTGAAAGGATTGTGGAATGTGCAGATAAGGGAGATGACTGGCATAGCATCAGCATCGTAGCGAAATGTTCCCCAGAGGAGGCATAAAACCTAAGATACTAGCTGAAGATCGAATAGATATAGTAATTTCATGGATTGAAGAAGACTGCGGCTAAACATTAAAAAAGTGAAAGAAAAAATTAGAGAACATTTCCAAGAAGTTGTGGCGTTGTCTACTATCGGAAATTATCTGGAAGGTAGATTATTTTCAGTGAAACAAACTCACAACGAGATAATCACAATGAACAGTCCTGAAAATAAAAGAAAACGTGAGGAGTACGTTCAAGCTCTCAATCCGTAAACGGTAAACAAATTATTTGAATTGACGAAACAAATTTCAATTTATTTTGCCGTCGAACAAGGGGACGTTCTCGGACTGGAGCCAGAGCTGTACAACAAATACCAGCTGCAAGAGGACCCAATGTACATCTCATTGGGGCCATTTCGGCAGCTGGGGTAGTAACTATGGAAAGAAGGCGAGGATCTTTCAAGACCGAGACGGCCAATGCTTGGGTAGCATGTCTACTACAACATTGGCAAGAACTAGGAAACCAGTTTGTGGACTTGGTCATAGTGTGTGACAATGCTCCTTGTCATTCCCGACTGGAGAACATTGTGAATGAAACGACTGCTCATCTTTTGAGATTGGCTCCATATTCTTCAATGCAAGCAGATTCTTCTGAACGGAGACAATAGCATTGCTTCCTGTTCAGTTGATATAGATAGAACATAGAATTCACTACTGAAATCTGAAAATGGTGAATTCAAGATTAATTAATGAAAATATACTATAACTCATTTGATTGCCAACGTCACTGATTGTCACTGAGAACTGAGAAGTGTCAAGAAGAATACGAATTTGCTATACAAATATCCATTTTTTATGTTGAAAACGGAAGCAGATTCGTTCCCGAAACGTCCAAAGATAAGTAAAAATTTGATAGTTTTTCTATCTATCTATATTTCTCTTCTACAAACATTTTTCAATACAAATTGTCACTGACAAGCTGGTGAATTTTTCTGTCAGGCTTTCAGATAGGAAAATTCTTTAAACGCGGTGACATTTTGGGGCAAATCATCTGATTTGTCTTTACTACACGTATATTAAAATAATATTCATATTTTCATTTTATGGTACCCAGGAGAAAATCCCAAAAAAACTGGAATTATGAATGTACCACCTCCTGGATTAACCTACAGACAGTATTTCCCAATCGTATTACAACATATGGCAACTGTGCTATGGTCTGCCCCTACTTACGAAATCGTGACGTCAGTTTTTACTCGCGGTAAATTTCTAACCGTTTGAAAATTACGGTGGCATTATTGATGATTTAAGCACCTTAAAATCGACCGAAAAATTCTGAAAAAATATCAAATTGAGGAATATTTGTTGATGATTCTATTTAGGAAACAAAAAAAGATAGTCCACTCGCCTATTGATATTTTCTGAATTTCAATTCACTAATCTGAATTACAACTGACGCTTTCTTAATTTCATTTGAGAAATTTGAATTACAATTGACGATTTTTGAACTACAATTGAAGAAGGTGTGGTCATTTCTCTCTCAGGTTCATAAATACATTACGGATTTATTTTTAATAATTTTCCCAAATAGTGAAAAAGGAACTATCGAGTATTTAATCACGAATTGAATGCCTGTTGAATTCAGATTATAAGCTCAGTAATTCGGGAAGTCCAACCGCAAGATTTTTGAAAACATCGTTTTCTAATCTCAAATACGTGACACAAAATTAAAAATACCAGATGGTTAAACTCTGTAAACACTAGGCCTAGGTAACGCTTTACTTATATACAGCCATAGACATTTTAATTAGTGGCTGCAGCCAATTTGTAAAAATAAGTGTCATTATGGTGGGAGCAGAAAATATATAAGCTAATGTCAATTACAAAAATGGAATTCCGAAGTCTCATTTCATGATGATTAACGTATTGTAAATCGTTAAAGAGTTTGCCTTCGCCGACAACGGCGATGGAAATGTAATTTAAGTTGGACGTCTTTGATAGATCCATGATATGAATGTTCATGAGAAAATTTAAAAATTTTGACAAAGCAGATTTCGAAGAGTTTTGGAAGAAGTCTCAAAAGGCAAGTGTAATTCTTCGTACTAGGTATATTTCGTAGAATTTGCTCTATTCCTTTACAAGAATAATAAGCTGTAGGGAATCAGTTATATTCTACCAAATGACAGTCGCTGACTCCACAAGAGCACATTATCTATCCCTGTGTTGCTTAATCAATCCAATGTAAATGGAAAATTGAAAATAACTTGAAAAATAAGTGTCAAACTCACAGAGCAATTTGGTTTTTCTGTTGTTACTTTCAGGTAGGGTCCCTTGATGGAAATTGACGTTAAAGTCATCTTAACCGGGTACGGACAGATCATAACTGCATTCTTTTTTAATGATCTAGAGACTTTAGTTTTGTCTACTGGCACCCCTGACATTGCTGTCACTTCACATCCATGGGCGCTACAGAAAATCATTCAAAATTTTATTAATAGGTATGTACAGGGTATTTACTTGTTGAGGAAGATCATGTGGCGAACGAGTATTGTAATTATGATCCGATTCTATTCAAAATTGGAAGGTATTTGGGGTTTTCCGGGGTTGGAGATAATGGTTATTTTGCCAAACTTGGAAAATTCAAGTCCAAGGCACACCGATCGACATTTGGATCATATTTTGTCATAACACAGAAGACTCAATTCATTTCCAGAACAGTTCGATGATCTAATTGTGATTTCTTTAATCCCTAGCATCTATCAAGTCAGCTTGACTAATAAGTGTAGTTTGATTTTACTGAGATAAAGATTCGTTTCGTGGGTCATATTACATTCAAAAATGAATCGCTGTGCCGTGGATTTGACTCAGATTAAGAGGTGGCACATGTATGTTTTTGAGATCTACCATAACAAGTGCAAATTACCGCACAGGAAAGTGCCATTTTTCAATCATTTTCCTCAGGATAGTGATTGCCGTCGGTCTAATTTCATTTTTCGACAACTGTCATTCCTTGTAGTGAAACGGAATAAAAAGTAGCAATCGGAATCGGTAAAGTTGCAAATAAAACGACACATTAAAGGGATTCCGGCGGCGGAATCGGATAAATAAAACGCAACTAATGTTTTTACATGCCTTTGTGGCATATATCATTTCGTTAACAGATATACAGGGTGATCTTCATTCCTGTAAAACTCGTGTATATTATTCTAGATTTGGCTGAAAATGTTCAATATGAATTCAAAGATATTGGTACAATTTATATCGTTTTGTCAAATAATTTGATGCAACGACACTGTCACATTATGGCTGTATGATAATGCATCACCTAGGATATTCAGTGAAGTTGAACTTTTGGTGTTTTAAATTTCGAATCGCTCACAATGAAACATCAACAGCAGGATAGCTCACAATCAAAGTCTCAACGTCGGCTTCTTTGAAGCTTGTTTCGGTTTTGGGTTAACAAGCGGTGTAAAAAACACAACAAGTCATCCAGCAATATGGCCGATCAGCTTCGAATGCGCAATAAAAAAGACGCTCTGATTGTGAACATTGCTCGCCTTCCTACCAAACATGAATCTTCATCGAATTGGTCGTTTCCAATCTATCACGATCGGCAATCGAAAGACATTTTGGTGAACCCCACCGATTTTCCTTTCCCAAACCTGACGAATTCGGCGTCCCAACGCGGTCGACATATCGACACATGATCGAGAATGAAACATCAGTGCACCAGGACTTCTTTAGTATCTGAGGTACTGCCCTGCCGAGTGGGACTGAGCAGCTCCTGTCTGTCGCGCTCTCTCTCTCGCCCGGGCCTAAAGGCCTCCAGCAGGGCCTGCACCCTGTCTTCCGTGGGTTCCCATCGCTGATGGCCTGCCGGGTTCTGCAGCCAGATGATCACCGTTCCATATACCGACCTCACGTTCAGTTCGGATCTGCGAAATCTCCCGTTTTAAATTCTATTCGACCAGGCAGGATGTTCTTACTTCTTAACCATGATATTGCGCAAGTAGGTGAGGCTTAGCGGCCAGATTTTTACGTCACGCTGAGAGTAATGGTACGGGTCTGTGAAATCTTCCGTTTTAAATTCTATTCGACCAGGCAGGATGTTCTTACTGCTAAACCATGATGCAAAGAACACAAGATATGATATTGCGCAAGTAGGTGAGGCTTAGCGGCCATATTTTTACGTCACGAGGAGAGTAATGGTTCGGATCTGCGAAATCTCCCGTTTTAAATTCTATTCGACCCAATGAACTCAATATAAACACCTGGAAGGGATCCTCTGTGAACGACGAGTGAGGCAAAAATATTGTTCAGGCAACTAGCAGTGGTTATGGATACCTATCTCTTTCTATCCTATGTTGGCTAATGGGAAGCGCTCGCATTATTTGAAATATTTTCTTGTTTTTTGGTTTTATATAAGAGTATAGTATAGTATAATAGTATAGTATAGTATTTAGGAAAAAGGATAGTGTTGCAATCAATTATTATTTGAAAATAATTATTGATTTTTTCAATGACTCAAAAGTGAAATTCGATTTTTATTCTTACAGGATTAGGAAGGCAAATGAATACAAAATTGAAATTATATATTCTCATCCAAATGTCACAATATATTGTACAGGGTGAGCCAAGCTCAATGTCTCAGGACTATCAGAAGAAATAGAAAAACGATAGAAAAAATTTGAAACGAAGTTCTTGGATGGTATCGAGCTCGGTATCGAGTACCTAAGGTGTTTTTTAAGCCTAATTTTTAAGAGTACCTTTTTTTCCATAAACATTTCACTATTAGAAGGTGAATGAAAGGTGAACAAAAATTGAATAAAAGTACACCTTCATTTTTTCCTTTCTAGAGAATAAGGGGAAGCTCTAAAGGCAAATCTGAAGAGACAATATGATGATGTAGCTCTCGAGTTTAAAAATTTGAACTTCTAGTTTTTACCTTCAAAATGTTTTTTCAGTACCTCATCAAGATTGTCATTCTCCTTTTTACTGTCCATATGAAAAACATTGTCCTTAGAATTCAAGCTATGAACATCTACAGACACATCCTGAAAATGAATTACTATAGTTTTTCTAAGAATCTGAACAATTTTCAACTTACCCATGGAGGTCACTTTCTGTTTTTCTTGCTTGTTTCTGCATCCAAAGGCAACACAATATAAATAACCATCGTTTATTAATTCGAAATCACAAATCTTTTCAACAACAATCAATTCACACCAACAAATTCAGTCCTTTTGAAGAAACAAAACACGCCAAATTTGGCGATATTTCACATAACAAAAAACAATAGAGTTCTGTGTTCACTTTTTTGCCTGTCAAGATGAAAAAAAAAAGATCTCAAGTACTCCAATCATTGGATGAAAGAAAATTTATACACCAATCCGCCATTGAACAACACGAGCGTGAAAGAGACAGGTTAACGTAACAAAAACTTATCTTTGTTGCAGCTGCCCCTGACAACACTCTGTGCTATTCGAGAAACCAGCCGTCTCCCTTTCAGGTGTTTATATTGAGTTCATTGATTCGACCAGGCAGGATGTACTCACTTCTATACCATAATACAAAGAACACAAGATATGATATTGCGCAAGTTGGTGAGGCTTGACGACCATATTTTCACGTCACGCGGAGAGTAATAGACCAGGGGCGATAATTTTTGAAACCGAAAAAAATTAGAGTAGAATGAAACTCATTGGAAAAGTAAAAGAATATAACAAAAATAAAAGTAAAAATAATCTATCCATATATCGAATAACGATATATAATTTCAAAATTTTGAAGTCAATAGTCATAAACACGAACACATAACCAGACAAAAAGATATGTTAACTCTCATCAAAATTAAATCAGATATGGGTAAAAGATCTATTTTATACAATGGAACAATTCTCTATAATGAATTACCTGCCAGACTAAAGAAAAAATTAAGTGTTGAAAAATTCAAAAAAGAACTGAAAAAATACTTATGTCTTTGATTCTCTTCATGTCATCCTGAATCAATTCAAGAAATTATATTTAACAGTCTCTAGAAGAAACAACATTATATGTATTATGTATATGATTTAAAAATGATTATCTGATTATCTAATTTTTTTTTTTTTTTTTTAGTTGCTCTTTCATAATTTTCCCTGCTATAAACATGTATGTTTCTTGGGAATAATAATAAAGATATATATATATATAAGCAAAATTATCGATAACCAACGATATATAGATAACTATCGATTTCTCAATATATAGGAAAAATGAATGTTAGCGACTAGCCAGATGCCGAGCGCCCTGTACCATTAGAAGCACAGAGCTACAGTTAGTGATTACATAAGGTTTAGTCACCTATCTACAAATGACTGTATCCGATCAGGAGGCATAAGGTTGATTCATTCTTATTTGAAGCGTTGTAGAGAATACATTGTGTTGTGTTAAAAAAGGTGGAAGGTTTCAGAGGGACTGATACTGTGCTGTTAACCCTACACCGAGCAGTGCTCGGTTTGTTCAGGCATGAAAATATATTGCATAGGTAGGTTTGGTAGATATAACCTTAGGTTTGGGAAAAAATAAGATTATTTCGAGTTAGGCGTGGGAAAAAATCCATATATCGATATGTAATTTGAAAAATATCGATAACTATCGATAATCGATATGTGAAATTTAATATCGCGCAGCCCTACTCGTGATATTATTTTTCCAAGTCTCATTTTGTTGGTGTACTATGCACAAAAAATGCAGCGAGAGACGAAGAAATCCGATTTTTCAGGTATGCACATTTTGATCTAAAATAAGTACTATACCTAGTCACTCACAAATAGTTTTCATATTGAAATGTTGTCATTTCCCATTGGAATTCCTTCTGCAATAGGAGCTAATAGAAATACTCTTGAAGTTGCTAAAAGAAGGCGAGAAGATTGGATTCATGCATCATGCAATCAAACGGGAGACTGGTCTGTCATGTAGACGAAAATAATATGATCGTGTGCGTGCGACAAAATTTCATAATGAAAACTATGTGAGATTACTATATTTACCTGAAAAAATCATATTCCTTGGTATCTCGCTTCATTTTTTGTGCATTGTACAACAGCACAAAAGTGATGGCATGCTTAAAGAAATTAATAGACCAAAAAAACACAATTCGTTTGCCAAAATATGTGAAAAACTATTTCAATCCATTGATTCCTTCGTAAACAACTAAGAAAAGTGAGGTTGTGTTTCAATGTTTCACAGAAAAGTGTGGATGTGTTTCAATGTTTTACCTCCAGGTTCGGTCATCGTGCACGCGACCTATGAGTATATTCATATGTGTCTATTTTGTCCTATCAAAACGTTGTTACATGCATTCCTTTTATTTTTATAACTGTTGTTTTGCGAAAAATGTATCACTATAAATTCAAGTGGGTGTTTCTGCCCTATTTCTTTTTCCATCTACGACTATGAATTTGACAAAAAATCTAACCTCTAAAATCTTATCTGACAATCAGGCGATACTAGGGAAATTGAAAAGAGAGAGAGCAAAATATATATCTTATTCTTTCATTCACTCAATCCATTGTAATATAGATAATAGAAAAGGACAGAAGTTCAGCTGTGAACGAACTCTTATCTACTAATAATAAGCATCACACCAGACACAGTTAACATTTGAAAACTGTCAAAATAAAAACCCAATTCGGGAAAAAATCATTGTATTTTTGTGGAATAAATATTTATAATAGTCTACCCGACAGAATAAAATCTATTAGGTTCGTCACAAAATTTAAGTGCGAACTGAAGACATATATTGAATCAATTAATTCTGATTGAACTGTTTATCTTTCATTGTATTGCATATTCGATTTATTTATTTTCCTCTATAAATATTGTATTTTTTTATAGCTTAGAGCGCACGAAAGGGAATTCCTATAATGTTCAAAGAACATCGTGCGTTCCTAGGGAGGATATGGACAGGAGGTAGGCATTGGAATTTTTTTTGAACTTCTGGAGGAGATTATGTGTACAACTCCACTACTTACTTGCTCAACACATGCTGAAATCCATGCCTGAAATCGTGTTCGTACGCCGGGATGGTCACTTGTCTCCTTTTGAACTGGCTGGATTCGAGTCTTATCAGTCCGTTCGGTGTCGGCTCCCTGAAGTCAGGCATGACCACTATAAAGCTAAGTGGTTCTGTACTATCCGACATCAATCTTTCCATGTGGTTTACCGAGGCTTCCATGAGCTCTTCGCTGTACGGCGGATGTGCCTCAAATGAGCCGGAAACCGCTCTGAGTTTGAGAAAGGATCTAAAAATGGCAACTGATAGGCTAGTGGAGTTAATTTTTTATCATTCAAAAGGTACATGGTTTCCAGATGTCAGAACACATCCAAATGTTTAAAAAAAAATATTTTTACTACGAAATAGCCAAAATGTTAAAAAAATGGACAACAATGGTAGATGACCGTGGAAAAAAAACTAATTTCCTATCTAATGCTACGTAGAACATTGATAATCATTCTCCGGAAATTTATGCATCGATTCTCGTATTAATGACCCAGGCAAACGGTATCAAAATCGCCATTTCCATGCAAAAAATCCAGTATTCGATGTCATTATAGTTCCCTGTTTTTTGGGGTGAATCAGAATCTGTAATAATCCAACAAAATTTTGCCTTTTGAGATAATCGCAAAAAGTTGACTCTGAACTTGAAATATATTTTTTTGTAAAAATTCACCCATATTTATATTGAAGTGTGAATTTCATACTCATATTGTGGCAAAAAAATCTTCGTTGAATATGGTATGATTTGTTTTTATGTCAGATGTTTACTGAAAAAGAAAAAAAAAAGGAATAAGAACTAATTGATCACACAGAAGGACATCGCGATTTTATCCGATAGCCAAGCAGCCATCAAAGCGTTGAGCTCTCCCTACATCAACTCGAAGATGGTATGGGAATGCCTAGGCAAATTGAATGAGCTAGGCAGCAACAATAAAGTTATCCTCTGGGTGCCAGGGTACATCGGAGTGGGGGGGAATGAACAAGCAGACGCTCTGGCACGACAAGGGGCTTCAACGCCACTGATCGGACCAGAGCCATTCTGCACCTTGGAAATTCCTATTTCCAAGGAGAACTTGAGAAGGCGGAAGGAGCCTGGAGAGCCAGACAATGGAGAAGACTTCCAGGACTACGGCAGGCTAAAGATCTCCTTGGAAATTTCAACCGAGAAAGATCTAAGACACTGACAAACCTCAGCAAAGGAAGTCTCAAAGCAATAACGGGATTTCTAACGGGGCATTGCAGACTCAAAGAACACCTAAGGAAGCTAGGCTTACAGGAGGACGGCACCTGTAGATTCTGTGAGGAAGAACCAGAAACACCCCATCACATACTGATGGAGTGTGACGCTGTACATCACAAAAGATTGAACATACTGGGAACACACCAGCTGACTGTGGAAGAAATACCACAGCTAGACCCCCTCAAAATCCTCAAATTCCTGAAGGAATTGAATCTCGAGGGGCTGCTATGAACAGGAAATCCTTGATATAGCAGGAGCAGATGGGGCATAATAGATCTAATTAGGTCGCAGCGCATCTGTCACCATCCAACCTACCAATACCAATACCAATTGATCACAACTATAGCGGGTACTAAAGTATAAATTGCCTTATTTGCCGCAATTTTTATATCTGAACCAATACTTTTGTGATCGGAATTCATGTTGATGAATTTTCATCTCAAATTGAAATGAACGCGTCAAAGTTGACAGTTCGCAGAATGAGTGACAACCGAGAACACAATAGATTCACAAGTATTCACGATAGAAAATAACACGGCAACATTTGTACACTTCTGAGCGGTTTGTTTTGATGGATTTGATCAATAAGCAGAAACAAAAAACGAATGTGAACCAATGAAAATAAAGTAAACAGGTTGCTTTGACAGCTCCCAAATACTCCGATAGATGGCGTACGCTTATTTTCTATCGCGAATATGCTTCCAACCTTTGCAACGCTCGCTTGTTACATAATATGTTCCTAATGAATCGTTGATTCCAGGAATATTAACTATTTCCCATTAATAAATTAGTGTTTTTGGTAGTAGGTTATATACTGTACGATATTCATATCGCAAAAATCTATTACATTTGTTGATAACTAATGATTATAAATGATTAGGTTTCATCAATTTATTTTATAATTGAAAAATTTCGGAATTGTAATCGAGACTATAATTTATTACTAACAAATGGTTAGTGCATGTTGAATTTCTTTTAATAAAAAATGACTTATATGATGTTCGTTAATGCGGTGGTTGAATGTTTTAGCTGACTGACCAATATATCTCAAGCCAAGAGTCACAATTTTTCAACCTAGAAGTTTTGTCTTTATTGTTCAATTAGTAATTCTCAAGGCCCCTTTATGTCGATGATCCAAAATACGTTAGACTTGTAAAATTTTGAGTAATGTTTTTGAGGTAGGATACACCTCTTGAATAATTGCTTTAGTAAGAATTCCAACCTTTTGAAGCAGAATATATTTTGTTATCAAATTGAAAGTGTTTTCATCCAAGACATTATAATAGAACTTCTAGAATCTCCTGTTTTGGTAATCTGATAAACATCATTTTCATCGGGAGGCATACTTGGAAAGTGTTTTCATCCAAGACATTATTATAGAAGTTCTAGAATTTCCTGTTGTGGTAATCTGATAAACATCATTTTTATCGGGAGGCATACTTGGAGAAAGGTTTTGTAAATCAAAGAAAATGAATTTTATGTTATCAGGAAGAGTAGTATTCTGAATTTTGTTTATTAAGTCAATTCCTCAAACTCAAATTAAAATAGCTCGTTCAGTAGCCTCATTTGAATGGAGGAAAAATGTTCTGATATCTGTTACAACAAAGTGTAATTCTTAAAAGCGAAAAATTCACTATCAGCCTTGATTATTAAAACTAACAAGATGATCCACCTGCATGTATAATGTTGCCAAATTTGGCCTTAGTTGTGGACTGGTACGTAGGCGGCGCTAGCAAAACAGAAAATTAGGGCGATTTTTTCATTTTCTCGGAATTTGCTCCACTCCATCCATTTGCAAATTGCTGAACTATCTCGGAATATCCTTCTTTCTGAAGCAGGGAAATCACTAACATTAATAATCTGAAGCCTTTTAAATAAACATATTTCAATGCATAAAAACATTTAAAAATAAATCTCTACCTTTCGCTAATCAACTAAAAGTAATTCACCATGTCGCTCATAGATACCGCCACCTACAGCATAGAATTCCTGGCTTCATTGCTCCCATAAGGATGGTTCATCTTGTTAGTGTAAATAAACAATAATCACATTTATTGGATAAGTATCAGTAGTTATAACGTGTCTTACCCTCTACTTCCAAAGTATGAATCACAATCGGCGAACGCTGAGCAGTATTGTCTGAAATAGCAATTGAGTGGAGAGGCGAAGCATTCGAAAGTTACACCGAACGCTCGATTGAGACACTCAAATACCGTGACAGGCAGAGATTGCTGCGTATCCTGAACGTCAGCGTTAGCGGTATTCGATGATGGATTCACGCCCAGAAACGTCGCGTAACGTTTCAGCATGACCCATACTCTGGGGATGAACAGTTCGAATTTTTTGTCATCAAAACAACTGTGCCTATAGAGGTGTTCCTGGAAACGAAAAGAACTATTCAACTGTCTTTTCATAAATATACATTTTGTACTCTTAAACTGTCATTGGCTAGATTACACAAACATATGATACTTAAAATCAAATCTGGGCATCGCTTCTCAGGTAAGGCACTAGCCGTTCGATGACACGACGATATATGCTCACTCGTTAGACTCGAATGTCGCCAGTACTCAGATCCAGATTCATCTGGACACTGGACAGGGGAATCATTCCGTACTTTGACGAGTCGAAGATCCGCATTAACAGTGCTAAGACGGATGTCATAATTTTCCATAAGAAAGTAAAGAACACTAAGTTCAGCAGACCTTTGACCGTCAAGGTACCTATAAGTAATATCACAACTCTTAGACAACACCATAACATCCATAAAAAACACGGGCATATGCATCAACCGATGTTTTTAGAGAGCCTGGGAACCTATAGTTCGGACCCTCCCCGGATCCTCGGGACCAAGCTGATGCATCGGGAAGGATCCGGACAACACTGTCTCCCAAAACACGATAATCATAGATAATAAAATAGTGTCAAGAGCACACAATGAGTGATGATCTGGCACCGAACTCGGTCAGTGATACGCACGCGCCCGAGTCCGTTGACTGGCCTAACAGCCAGAGACGGGCGGAGCGTAAACGAGATGGAGGTTTTTGTTTTTGATTTTTATTTTCCATCAACAACACGCAAACTCTACCACTGATAGCGACTGATAAACTCCCTCACCCTCTTGGGAATCCTCCGCGAGATCACCTATATAAAGGGCACAGCCCTAGGAGATAGGTTTCTGCGACGAACACTTCACATATACGCTCACATTCCTTGGCCAACACCAGCCACCTCTGTCTTGCGCGGAGGACTCTATGTACCACTGTAATGTAAATTATGTGTTGTATTGTAAACAAATCGAAGGAAATAAACAACTTTGGCACATCTGTAGCGAAATAGCATATTCTAGCTACAGCTACAGCTACCATATGGTACGGATATGCCGTCCTTCGGAGGGGACGTTAAGCCGGCGGGTATATGTAAATTCGGCCAGAAGAATTATAATACCAAAAATAAGATGTAAATTCGGTCCCAAACTGTATAGGTAAATTCGGTCCCAAACTGCATAGGAAAATTCGGTCCCAGGTAAATTGTTCTGTGAGGAGCTCAGTAAATAATAAGATATTAACCCATTAAGCGCCGTTGATGCGAAAACGCAACATTATATTCTGATTTTTTTTTACAGAAACTGAAACTGGAATTTTGTCCACATATTCCAGGATTATGTTTATATGAGTTTCATAATGATATGTGATTTTTCTGTGGCGAATACAACAAGTTTTGATTATCTCAATCTCATCTTGAAATTTGTGTGATTTCATTTCTCAAACATCCTATGCTGTAACACCCTGTATCTTCAGGATTTTCCAACATGTGTTTTTCGTTTTATGTTATTTTATGGAAGATGTATTGTACTTATTAGGTGACAACGAAAAATTTCAATACATCGATTTCGAAGAAAAATATAGTCATGCTAAAATAATGTTGCGTTTTCGCATCAACGGCGCAATACGGTAGTAATGGAATTTGAGTAGTGGGGGACCGCACGTAATTGAACATCGCGGACGGCAACTGAATCAGTTGCTGTTGTTGTTTCGAGTGGGTTATATCATTACTCTTGTGCATAATGTGGCGGAATCATGAACAGCATCGTGCTCTGACCCTTCAAGAATTGGAAGACGAATTGGAAGATTTGGAACCGGGAAGCGAAGTTGATGCTGTCATTATACCTCCAACTGTTGATGAGCTCACGGACGAAGAGGATATAGATGATGATATTCTGTTGGGTGAGTTCAGATATTATAATAATAAAAAAGATTACTAAACATAGATCTTTTGTTCAGGAAATTTCGTGCCTCAAGATGTAGCTGGTACTTTCGAATTATTGATCCCAGAACGGGAAGATGTTGACTCCAATACTATTTGTATTGATTCCGATGCTGGACCATCTACAAGCAAACGGACTAAAAAATCTACTGTTATCACTCCAAAGTGGAAGAAAAAACATCCAGAATATGATAAGCTACCATCATCGAATGAGGAAGTTGAGAAAAACAAACTGATAGAAATTCTAGCCGATAAATCACCTCTGGATATATTTTTCATGTTCTTCGATCCGGAGTTATTAGAAGAAATCAAGGAATTTTCTGAAAAATATGCCAAAGATAATAACAGGCATGATTTTTCTCTCAATATCATGGAGTTGAAAAAATTTATAGGAATTCTGATTTTTTCTGGTTATCACACTCTCCCCCAATTAGAAATGTATTGGAGCAGAGATGAAGATAAAGGAGTAACACTAGTGAAGAACTGTATGAGTAGAAATAGATTCCGGAATATAAAAAGGAACCTGCATCTGTGTGATAATGCTCAGCTGGACAAAAACGACAAATTTGCCAAATTGCGTCCATTATTTGATGCTATAAATAAAAGGAACTTACAATTCGGATTGTTTTCACATAACCTTTCAATTGACGAAGAAATGGTTCCATACTTTGGTAGGCATTCGGCTAAAATGTTTATAAAAGGAAAGCCTGTCCGTTTCGGATTCAAACTATGGTGCCTCTGTTCGGAAGATGGATATTTATTCCAGTTTATGCCATATGGTGGCGCAAGAAAGGAGAAATCAGAAATGGGTCTTGGAGCAGATGTTGTTGTCAGTTTGATGAACGTTGTTGAACATCCTTCCTCACACAGAGTATTCTTCGACAATTTCTTCTCGTCTTATAAGCTCTTATCCTTCCTCGGTGAAAAAAACATATTTGCAACTGGAACGATTCGAGATAACAGAATTTCCAATTGTAATCTAGAGTCAACGAACATTATCAAAAAGAAAGACAGAGGATCTTTTGACTACAGATTTGATTCGAAATCAAAGTTGTGTGTGGTAAGATGGAACGATAACTCCGTTGTGACCCTCATAACTAATAACATTTCTATAGATCCAGTGCAACCTGTGAAACGTTATGACAGAAAGCAAAAAAAGGAAATCAATATACCACAACCGTTAGTGATAAAAGAATACAATAAATATATGGGTGGCGTCGACCTCCATGATAATGGAATTGCGAATTATCGTATCAGAGTCCGTGGAAAGAAGTGGTGGTGGCCACTATTCATAAATAGTCTAGATAGTGTTATTGTGAACGTTTGGAAATTATGTAAACTGACAAACCCCAAAATGACACAACTCCAAGTCAGATCGTATTTAGTAATGGCTCTGATGAAAAATGAGGAAACTTCACAGGATTCTGATGATGAAACTGAAGAGACACGCATAATGTATCAGGGTAGAGGAAGACCAACTCGAACCGAGTTACCAGATGAAATCAGGAGGGACAAAGTTGATCACATCATCTCACGTCATCCTGAAAAGGCAAGAAAGCGTTGCAGACTGTGTAAGAGTCAAACAGTGTTTATGTGTGGAAAATGTAAAGTACACTTACACTCCAGTTGTTTTCTTAGATTCCATAATGTTTAATACGATTTGACTCTTGAAAATCATTCATTTTTGGAAATAAATTTTTTTGAATATTACACCAGTATTGGCCATTGATGCGAAAACGCAACTTTATTTTTTTCGTCACACCCTATATATGAAATTTTTTTTCGCATGGCACTACTCTATTTGAGTCCAAATAAGTCAACTAATACAATTTTTTTCTATATTCGACCCCTCATTAACTGCTTGGCGGTTAATGGGTTAAAGGAGACTACTTTTTCCAAACAATCTGACCTAACTCGGCCTAATATATATTTTTTTATCGCTTGGAGCGCACGAAAGGAAATCCCTATAATGTTCAAAGAACATAATAATAATAATAATAATAATACATTTTATTATTCACCAAATGATACAATACAGTAAACATTAATTTTAACATTAGATTAATATTCAGTGAATAATAGGAAAACTGTTAGGCTGTAAAGCCAATTCTTCCACAGCTCCCTTGAGTGAAGAAATAAACAAACGATTGGGAGTATATAAGGATATTATAACAAAGAGTCATGAATTTAATTGGAAATCGATATAAAAGGAAAAAATAAAACAAAAACAAAAAACATCAAAAAATCATTGTCGACCAAACAAGTATCGTTTGTACCAAATCCTGAATCCCTGTAAGTTTAAAGAAAAATTTGGTACATCCAGAACATCGCCAAATAGTGCAATATTATAAGAAAAAGACCTCTTGAAGATTTCTTTTCTATGTTTTGGTATAGTTATCATGTTTTTCCGACGCAAGTTCAGATTGTGTATATCTGTTCTGAAGGTAATTCTCCTGAATAAGTACTCCGGTGTTTTATACAGTAGTATTTTATGAAAAAAGCAAACCATATGATGTTTTCTGCGATTAAACATACTTAGCCATCCAGCCTCTTTTAATTTATGCGAGATACGCTGAGGGCGTTTTATTCCGTATATCAGCCTTAAGCAGGAATTTTGCGTCTTTTGGATCCGTTTGACGTTGACAGTGTCAATACAGGGGCCATAAACGATATCGCAGTGATTAAAATGAGAGAGTACAAGACTATCGCACAACTGTATTTTCAATTTCGCATTCAAAAAGTGTCTCTGACTATAAATGAACTTCAGCGAAGTATATGCATTTCTCAACTTCCAAGTTATATGATCTTTGAATCGTAATTTGGAATCCATAATCAGTCCAAGGTTTTTGCAGGTATTGTTGATTTCAATTCTATCATTTCCAATTCGAATATTCAATATTTCGATGGCCTCAGTTCTTTGATTATCAGATCCAAACAATATCGCAACAGATTTATTCGAGTTGATTTTCAATAAGTGCACATTAGTGACGTCAAGAAGTTTATTCAAATCAGAGTTAATAAGTTCATTAGCTTCACGTATATCAGAAAAATTGAATGAATAATACAGCTGTGTGTCGTCTGCGTAGAAGTGATATTTACAATGATCAATGTGTGAAGAGAAGTTGCTAGTATAAATAGTATACAATAGAGGACCTAAGATACTTCCCTGTGGTACCCCTTGAAATATTTCCAATGGGATAGAAATAGAGTCATCTATCTTTACTTGTTGAGACCTGTCAGATAGATAGGACCTCATGAAAGCGCATGCAAAAGGATCAAAGCCAATAAAATGTAACATAGAAATCAGGATATCGTGATTCAAGGTATCAAAAGCTCTTGAATAATCAATCAAGATTAGAGCACATATTTCATTGTTATCTAGTGATTTGATAATATCATCAGAAATCGCAGAGAGAGCTGACGAGCAACTGTAACCAGCTCTGAACCCAGATTGATGCATTGGAAGTATAACATTCGTATGAAGATGTATTCGTATTTGTAATTCAAGTATTTTCTCTAGAACCTTTGACAGAGTAGGTAGTATGCTGATACTTCGTAAGTGACTGAATTCTGTTGGTTGTTTAATTTTGGCTAATGGGAGAACCAGTGCGTGCTTCCAGGCTCTAGGGAAGTACGATTGGTCCAAGCATTCATTCATTATATGAGTTATATGAGTAATTATATATGGGCAGCAGAGCAATAATAAATGTATGTTGATGCGATCAGAACCAAAAGCCTTTGTTTTTATATTTTTTATTATAGCCAAAACGTCAGCATCTGTTACATGAGAAAAATGCAATAGATTATTAATGCTTTCTTTCTTCCTGCTAGAGTAGAAATCTATTATTTCAGGTTCGGGGAGTCGGTCATTTTTTGATGCATTAATAAAAAAATTGTTAAGAGTATCTACGTTTTTTAGGTTATCGGGCAGCTGTATCTGGCTAGTTTTCAAGATATCAAGTTTCCTAAATGTTTGCCACTGTTGCCTGCTATCCGAATTTCGGAATGTAAATTCTAAGTATGCTTTTTTTTCTCTCTTGATGGAAGATGAAGTGAAGTTTCTGAGTTGTTTATAATATTCAAAGTGTACGGGTTGTCGAGTTCTTCTGTATCGTCTCAAGGCATTGTCGCGTATTTTTTGCATGTATTTTATGTTATCGGTTATCCAAGGAGTGTACTTTTTCTTATCATTATTAAATCGTGACGTCTTCAGCGGAGCGTGTGCATCAGCCAAAGATATTATATTACTATTCAAGAATGCAATTTTATCATCTATTGATTCGATGGAATAAATTTCGTCCCAAGGTAAAGTCACTAGATCTGTTTGAAAAAGATTGTAGTTAATCTGACTAAAATTTCTATAGGAAAATCGTTTCGATGTAGGAATTTTGTGAACGAATTGAAACGAAGAAGAAATGACGAAATGATCAGCTATATTTGCGTCATAAACATCAGTACTGGCTATGTCGAAGTTGGTGAAAAGTAAGTCGATTAGAGTTATGTTAGTATCTGAAACACGAGTGGGATTTTTTATTCTCTGAATTAATCTGAAAGTTTCTGCTATGGCAAGTAAGTCACTTGACAAATTCGAGTTAATATCTAATAAATTAATATTGAAATCACCCATACAAATGATTTTATCATAATCAGAAAATACGCTGATCAAGGTATCTTCGAATTGGTTCAGGAAAGCTCCACTATCAGAGTTTGGTGGCCTATAAACAATTCCCAAGGCATACTTATTCTTTTCCAACTTTATTTCAATCCATAGTTGTTCTAGATACTCGAATGTGCCATTCTGAATAACCTTGTACACCAAGTTATTTTTTATATATACACCAGTTCCACCACCTCTCCTCACTAGACGGTCAGATCTTATGAACCTATAGCCCTCAATATCTAATGCTCTATCTGGGATTTCTGGATGTAACCATGTCTCAGTGAGACCTATTACGTCATACTTTTTCTCCTTGATAACCAGATGTAAATCATTCAAATGAGGGACTAAAGATCGAACATTGACATGAGCAAAAGTAAAATACATATATATATTTTTATTATTACTTCAAGTTTTGATTAATATGAGCTTTATCTTTGAATGAATGGAAAGAGATAATTACACTTAATATTATTGAGACTTAATAAAGAGATTAAAATAAATATTATTGAGAGCTTAATAACCAGAAAAAATAGATAAAGACTAAATGTGTTTCAAATTTATCCCCCCTTTTGGGAAGACGATGGTTTGAGAATGCTTCTTGTGGATGGTTTTCTATCCCTTTCTTTCTGTCGTGTCTCTCTCTTCTTAATGTCTTTATTGGTTACTATTTTTGTTTCTTCTTGTAGCTCAGTGGAAGATTCCACGTCATCCCCTGTTGGCGGAACGCCAAATATATTTCCTGATCTCAGCTCACCCAGGGTAAAAGATTCTCCTCTGTCCAACAGAATAAGTTTGTTTCCTTTGATTTTAGAGGGTATATTGTTTTGAGTTGCCTCTTGCATGAATGTCTTAAGATGGTTGTATTGTTCCCTCTCTTCCTTAGTGGACTCTCTCGTGATTTTCCATTGAGTATTTTTCAATTTACTTGTATTTTGAAAAATTTCATTAATTTTAAAATAGCTTACGAGCTCTACTAGGACCGGTTTGTTGACAGTTTCTTTCTTTCCTAGCCTGAACAAATTTCTGATGTCATTGGTAAGAAAATGCACTCCCAGAGTATCATTTATAAGTGTTGTTACAGCGGTGACAATGTTTTTTTCATTATCTGCGCGCGTTCCTAGGGAGGACAGGGACAGGAGGTAGGTATTGGAATTTTTCTTGAACTTCTGGAGATTATATGTTGTTGGGAATACTTCCTCAGGCAATGAATTCCAGAGCCGAGCCGTTCTATGGATGAAGGAGTTTTGATAAAGTGCTGTTAGACATATTTCGAGGTTGACAACGAGAGGATGTGCTGACTGGGCTTGTCTAGTTCGTTTGACTGGTATTGCTAGTGAAGGGATGGTATATAAGTAGGTTATAATATGAGGAAGCAAAATATCCTTCTTGTATAAGAAGGAGACTACATTATATAAAATATATATATAAAAGTTTCAATTTACTCTGCTACATGATGGGACCGAATTTACCATCACCCAATCCGGCGGTCCCAAAGCCATTGATGTTGGTCTCTGGTTGAAACACCAGACGATTCGACAAAATTTCAGGTTGGGCTCACCGGCGTCGGTAATTAGCCTCAGTAGCAGAAAAAGGCCGACGTTAAAGAAAAGAAAAACAACAAACAAACATCGAATTTCGGCAATAGTCCCATCATCAGGGTAGATTTCTGAAAGTGAATCAAGTTGTAGGAAACTCATTTTTGAGGTTAGAATTTGAAATAATTTATAAAATAATGAGAATAACTCACTCTTAACAGAAAATTTAATAATAAAAGAGGTTCAGGGTTTCCCTGTAAAACAGAATATACAATCATAACATAACCTAAAATTCCACTGTAAGCTCTACCTCCCTTGAAAGTCACCTTGAGGAGCGACTATAAATACAGGCCTCAGTCGCAGAGTTTGTAGCAACTCAAGAACAATACTCGCCAGCTGTCAACCAATTAATGCCATCACAGAACTTAAAGTTTAATTTTTTCAAAACTTTTGGCACTAAAGGCAGTACTTCAATATTTGCGCTGCCAATCAAGGTAAGTTTAGATGAATTATAAATAGCACATTTGATAAAAAATTGTAGTTTTTGCATAAGCACTTTGAAAACTTACCCAAAACAATAATTTCAATCAAATTATACGAGGTGAAAAACTTACCAACTTTTGCAAATGTGTGCTGTTGATGGCAAGAGTATCACCTTGAAATCTCAATAATGCTTGATCTCTTTCAGGCAGATATTCTACGACAGGGAGTCTAGGACAGCCAATTGCAAACTGAACCGGGTAGCACCAAACTTTCCTTGTCGCGTGCATCGACATTGGAGGAGGGAATTCCATTCCGTGTTCCTTCAATATTGCACTGGACTTGTCCCTCACTTTTTTCGCATGTTCCATAGACAAATTATATATTTTCAAACAGATACTTTCTACTGACGATTTTACCTGCAAATAACTATGTATGTATTGAGCGGAACCTGTATTGTGTGGTTTGGTTTCGTTGCTAGTGTCCCAAAAATATGAAATTTTACGCTTTTCAGATAAAATATTCAAGATATTTTGCGCTGGAAGAAGTTATATGTGAATGAGATGTACTGTTGAACAAATGATTTATGAAAAAGTATTGAAATAATATTGAACTTTGTCATATTCTGATATTATGTCTTATTGGTGCTCCACATCAGGGTTCAGCTATTCAGTATTTAGACTATTTAGAGCTGAATTTGGAATAATAAACGTCATTTTAGCAGAACATCAACGCCTTGATCGTATTGAAGTTTGAACATTTTCCGTGGAAGTATCTATAGAAAAGTTAGCTATGGAGGGAATGAAACTTCCTACCGAGGTTTGTATACTATTTTATTCACAACCATCATATTTCGATAAAAGTTAATAAATCTCTGTTGTGTTCTAAACATACCAAAAATATTACATAAGTGAGGGCGGAATGTAGAGGTGTGTAATGTGACACTTCCCGACCTTCAATGACATTAGTAATGACAACATTAGATATTTGGTTGTAAATAAAGTATATTTTCGCACGGAATAAAAATCCTAGTTTTTGCGAAGCAGCTTAGCGATGGATCGGACATGATTCTCCCATGAAAGAGTATTGCTGTTGGTAATACCGAGCATAGATATAGTGGTGTTGTTGGGAATAGTGGTACCAGACATTGTTATATCAGGCATATTGAGTTCCGCATTTCTAGAGAAAATACAGGCTTGAGTTTTGGTGGCGTTGAATTCAACTAGGTTATTGGTTCCCAAGGCAGTAATTTAAGCAATATCGTCATTGACAGAGTTGACCTGCGGCGTCGTAAGTTTTTGCTTTCCTGGGAAGAAATGGGAATTCTAGAGGAGGAAAAAGCGTACATGTATTGAAAAGAGAGGTCGACGTCATCCTAGTTCTACCTATGACAACTGTCAACTTTGGTAAACAATGAAAACAATCATTCCCGATAGCCCGTTTTACGCAAATAGGATGACGTTAATTTTTCTCTCTAATACTAGTAAGTTTTTTTTAAACAACTATACTATCGTCTGCAAAGCTGGGGCTAGGGCAAGTGTTTGGATTTCAAGTTATTTGGAGCAGTAGAAAGTGTGCCTGATTGAATCAGGCAATAACTAAATTATAATGCAATAACTAACTGGCGTTTATCAGTCAATAGTTTTATCGTAGAAGAACGAGGTTGGTTGGTCACGTGTGGGTCAATTAGGCTTCTGTATTGGTAGATTAGTGAATATCATCAAAAATACTCGTTTTCAATTATTTAAGTCGTTACCATTCAGACTCTAGCTTTTTTAGATTACATCAAAAAACACCATATCTCTCATAGTTAAAGTAAAATGCCACCCTGGCTATTTTTTTTGAAATTTCAACTCCCTGTGAATCCACCTACACTTAAAAGAAAGGGATAATCAAATAGAACTTGAATTCACAAAGTTATTGAAGAGAGAATCTTCATGGATATATCAAGTCGATTGAGTATTTTGTCGGTGAGTGTAGTTATTTTATCAACAGAGAAGAGAATAATATCCTTCCTCTTATTGTAAGAAGCAACTAGATAAAACAAAAGTCATGTAAGTATATTTAAACATCTTAGTCTTCCTTGGATAGGATTACACTACCAGAAAAACGTAGGAGCACAATAAAAATTATGAAAAAAAAATCTGCTGACACCAAATGAAAATCAGCTGATAACAGATGGATAAAAAATTATTGATTAAAAGTAAACAAACATACGGTTTCCGTTAGATGTGGTTGACACTGCTGCTTCAAATGTGCCAGCCTGTCTTGGAAATCATCATATGTTGCTCCAACTGTCTTTCTCAGCCACTGGAATGTTTCATCTACATTCCATTTGACTACTTTTCTGCTTTCTGCTTCCGCATTTCTAGATTCCATAATCTTTTTGGCTGCCTCTGCATATCTGGATAGTTGTTTTCGAGCATCGCCCGTGAATTTCGGTCTAACCAATTTGATTGGTATGTCGTTCATTATCTCTCTGTACATAGATAAAGAAATTTCCGGGTAGCAGTTACTGGGGAGAAGAGTATCATAACCTGAAATCAATGAGAGTATGACAGTATCTGCAGTTAAACCCTCGTAAATGACAGGTATGTCCGATATTGCTTTCGCGTAGGGGTATGTTGTTGGGGTGGTCAATCTGTCATTTATTTTTTATAGGAGTCGGTCGTAAATTTTGTCGGTTACTCAACCGAAAAGATACTTATAATGATGAAGATGGAAAGCCCTAATTTTGAGTGACAATGGAAAATGAAAAAACTCCACCACCCCGTGTGAGATTCGAATTCAAAACCTCCGGGTTACATGCCAAACGCTCTGTCAATCAATACGGATAATCTCTATCTGTTTCCATAGCGAAACATGAAGCCGATTTTTGAAGACAAATGACTATCCATAAGGAAAAGTGAGATACGATCAGACACATACTGCTTTGATTGAAAGGCTAGTAAACGTCATTGTCCACCGAAACGCATGTCTTTGATGACTACTATAATAGCGCATGGCGCATGCGTATCATGCCACCAAATCCTTATGGATATTCATTTGTTTCATATTTTTGGCTTCATCCTGGCACCCGTTATATATGATCCGTATTGTTTATTAATACGTATATGTCTGTCAATCGTTGGGCATGTAACCCAGAGGTTGTGAGTTCGAATTTTAAGATGTATTTCAAACATCTCATTTGTAGCTTCCTGTCGACCTGTTTTTATCAACTTGAGAATTTCAACTATTTATGGCATTTATATATTGGATTTAGCGGTTCATAGAAATAAAAACGATTATTTACGAAATAGTGATATTCATGCTCATGACACAAGATATAAATCAGACTTCTCCATACCTTACCAGCGAATATATTACCTAGTGATGGGAATTAAACTATACAACAGTCTCCCACAATGTTTCTAAGATATTGCCTTGGTGTATAAATTCAAAGAGAAAACTAAAAATTATCTCATTGACATGACGTGTCCATACTCGGTTTAAGAATATTTTGAAAATAATCGTTGAATTATGTCCAAACTGCTATATATATATATTGTATATTGTATTTATTGACCTATATTATTGGTCAATTTTAATACTTTAAGGTAAGTGCTCTGGTTTCGGCTAGACTTTTCAATTTTAATTTGTTCTTTTTTACCTGTCTCACGTCATTATTTGATATTATGAGATCAATAAATTCTATTCTATTCTATCACACGGGGCGGTGGAGTTTTTTCATTTTCCATTGTCACTCGAAATTAGGGCTTTCCATCTTCATCATTATGTATCTTTTCGGTTGAGTAACCGACAAAATTTACGACTGACTCCTATGTATGATTGCCTTTGGACATTTCCGTATACAAGGAAAGACAATGCCAGAGGACGAACGGGGAAATATGGAGACTGTATAGTACCATCCTGCCAGCGATGCTTCATATAGTGCATGATTTCGAGTGACTTCGGGAATTGGAAGGATTCTGCCGCCTAGTGTGTGATGAGAACTCGACCTCTCTGCCGATTGATCGACGGATGCCCCGTTAGCTCAATTGGCAGAGCGTTGGGCATGTATCCCAGAGGTTGTGAGTTCGACTCTCACACGGGGCGGTGGAGTTTTTTCATTTTCCATTGTCACTCGAAATTAGGGCTTTCCATCTTCATCATTAAATTTATTTTATAGTCCATTCCAAATAAGAAGACGTCAGAAACCACAAGGAAGTGTTGCACTTCAGTTAAATTGGTAAAATTGAAGGCAATATAGCACCTGCTTAATGTTATGACGTTAGAGTAATTTAAAGTTAACGTTTTTCATTGTGGGAAGACGATCAAATCATCAAATTTAATCTGTTTTTTTTTCTGATGTTACAAAAACTCCTGAAATTCGTGGTAGTCAGGCTCATCATCTGACGTCGCGATGACATAAACACTATGAGAATAGTAGATTGTTTTATTAGGATCAAAAGTGACACTTTGTTTGACAACCGAATTTTGCATTTGCGAGGCGGAGCGTTCAGCGAAGCCGAGCGAAAGCAAAATTTGCGAGTCGAACAGTCACTTTTTATCCGAATGAAACATGCTATTTTTTCTGCAACCGAAACAATTAACTCAAATTAACATGTGAAGTAACCACCAATGCCGTGCCATATGTATGGAATGCACCAAATATTGACAAATAATCCCTGTGATGAGAATACTCTACCTGCATCAACAGCAGGTTAGGTTTTCAAGGATGTTCGAATTGTAGTTTCGATATACATTCAACCACAGAGTGACACATTTGTGTATGGACCAGGTGCTCTAATGGCAAATACCGCGCCAATGCCAGCTATAGGAACAAGACGTGGAAAATGTTAGGTTGGTGAGCATATCAACCTGAGATGTTTATAATTCCAATACTAAAGTATAATACGGTGTGTGTAAATCAGGTATATGCGTCTCAATCCAAATAACCAACCGTCACAATGTTGTTTATTCTTGATGACGTACAGTACATCATTTTTAGTTCCTAGGAGCTAAAGTTCAACTTTCAACTCCTAGGAACTAAAATTCAACTTTAGCTCCTAGGAACTAAATATGTTGCCTAGCAACACACCTATTTTTGTGTCAGTAATAGAAACGTCAATTTAAGAGCTAATTTTGGTATCAAAATGGACGACTTTTGTGTCGGTTGCAGAAAAAAATGTTTAACTTTCAAATCTGAGCCAGGAGCTAGGAATGTTTTCCCGTATTTTTCATGTCATCGCAACGTCAGATGATGACCTTGACTACCGCAAATAAAAACCGAATTCAGAGTGGAACTCAATCATTAGAATGCCAATGATTTTGAATTCGGCGCCATATCCTGATTTTCGAAGTGTAAACAGCCCTTCAGAGACAGCACCACCTATCTTCTCATTGGGAATGTAGTTAAAATTACATGAGATATACACGATAACTAATATATAAAAGAAGCGAAGGTAACTTGGATATTATTAATAGCCATACCTAAGGTACAGAGTGATTGGTTATATTACTCAATAGCTATCTCAGTTAATATTGGTCTTACGGAAACGTTCAAATAGGCAAAAGTGAATTATTTTTCATGGGCATTCATAATCTATCACTAGAAAATGCAAAAAAGCATCGTTAACCTAAAAAATTTACATAAATGGAACACCCTGTATTTCATTTTTCCAATCGATAGAGCTCTTTCTTCTGATTTCAAATATATATTCTTCAATTATGATCTATGATCTAGTGTTTCGAATTTCATTATTAAATGCATGTGTTTGGTATCTCATAACTTTCATTATATACCTAATGATCATAATAATTAGGCAATCCCACTCAGGTTAGAATCAATATGGCGCCTGGCTGGCACCATATATAAAAACAATAGAATGCTGTTACTAGATCAATTAAATACTTACTGATTGTGATGTTCTTTGATTATATGACTTTTTTTTCTGATACCAACAGCGATTCGCGTATAAAAACGATTCATCACACCTAAATCTAAATGATTCCATTGTGTGCCAGCCAGCACATAGTTTGACAAGTCATTGGATTCAAGTCCTGGAGTATTATTACTATATGAACTAGTTCACTTCACTTTGAGACAACATGGACTTCTACAGTAGGTTATATAATGTGAAGTTTAATAAGTGTGTGTGAGAAATATCAGGCACCCTAATCTCTACGCCGGTATAGAGGCCGGATGATGACGGATTCATCGGATAAGGGGGCCATACTCAAAGTCAAACGTGCTCCATTATCTCTACGCCGGTAACCAGGCCGGATCAGCAACGAATTTGTTGGATAAGGGGAGTACATATGATCAAATCTTATGAACACTGATGACTCGGCTTCAGGCCATTGTGATACTGGTTTGAAGTGATCCTTATTGATGATTTGTCATCAGTTTTTCCCAAAAATAAAGTAGTAAATCTTCTGATCATTTATTTAAAAAATAGTTATTCATTATACAAGAGAAAAAAGTAGTAGATTTCAGCTCAAGGTCACTCAAGGTTGTGTCGTTTACCGACGCATAGCAGAGGGAGACAAAAAACGGTGAGCTAAAATCTAATATTTTTCCTGTGTATAATACACTATTTTTTTCTGTGAAAGTACGAATCAATATTGAATTTGAGAAAATATGACATGTAACAGAATCCAGGAATTCAGGAACATGCTTTAAATGTGATTTGGGGAAACAAAGCCTCGTTGTCAGGTAAACGTATAAATAGAGATATCAATAAGGAAATTTGTGATATCAACGTTTCGAAGATTTGTGTGCGAGATTTTGAATCCCTGGGGGAATCTCCCAATTCAGTATTACTGGGTGAGGAAGTGTCCCTGATTTAGGTATGTGGGATTTGCCCATTTTCTGTATGAAGGTATTATGTTTATGTAAATATTAGAACTCGAACTTATCTTGGAAATAAACTGTTTGGACCTGGATATTCGCATCTGATTGCTCAGAACCATTACATCTGGCGCCCAATCGTGGAGCAATCGGATTTGGAATGGAGGCCAGGCATATGTACCGAACACGGAGCACCACTGGGGCGATACCAAAACCGAAGAACTATCTAGAGATCAGTAAGGATAGGGTGAAGCCGAATCAACTACAGTCAGGTAGGCGATTTAATAATAATCATTTCCTGGAAGCGGCCATGGGGGACACAGTAGCTGAAGCGAGCTTATCCTTGGATCCACCAACGTGTTCTTGGTCTAAAGATAGTCAAGGTAAAGAATTCGTTATTCGTGAAACGATGAACGAGTCAGCAGATAGTGACGATGACAGCTGTGTCGAGAATGTCAAGTCAAGGGATACGAGGAGTCGTCAAGACATTGTGTTCCAGCATAAAAACGGGGAGCAATCCGGAATCGCCGTGGACGAGGAAGGCAGATTGGAACAACAGGAGTTACCCTTAGTTGATTTTTTTCCGACGGAGAGGTATCTAAGGAGAGATGGTACTATGTCTGAGGTTAGGAAAGTTTCTCCATGTAGGATGCAGAGTAGGAGAGATGAAAGGCCCGAGGGTGATCGTGAAGAGAATCCTTTGGA